CTTTCCTGCAGCATCCAGTGTTCCTTCATTTTCTGTGGGGAAACGGGTGCTGCTAGAGGGCTGGGGTGGAGGAAGGCAGTCTCTGGCTCCCGACCTGAATGCACTGAGCTATCTCATGGCATCTTGCACAATGGAAAAACTTACTCAGATTTTCCCCTCAAACACAGGTGGTCCCACGAGTACCAGGAGGCCACAATCGACAAAATCATCCGCTTTCTGCAGGGTCGTTCCTCCCGGGACTCCTCAGCCGGGTCGGAGAACGGCCTGGACTGCTTACCTTCCCTGGGGCAGCCCTAGAACCAGCACGGCCGCCTCATCCCCTCCAGAGACTTCCCAGGTGACCCCTTTTTACGTGGGGTCAAATTTCTCCCTCTAGATTTTTCCCCATCTTAGCACCTTGGCTTGAGATGAGACTTTGGCTTGGTAGCCCCCGCCTCCGCCTCCTTCACCCTCCAAACGCAAGCCCCCGGCGCTAAAAGGCCGCTGCTCACTTCTACGGTGCCTGGTGACACAAGCCGGGGTGGACTCTGGGATGGACGAGTTGTCTTCCACATCCTCCCTTGGGGCAGCAGGACATGCACCCACATCTCCCGCAACGCAGGGGGTGCGAGGGAGACCGACACTGTCCAGACCCCCCACAAATGGCTGCAGCTTCCCCCAGGAAGCGTGTGGGAAGAGGAGGGATCTTCTGAAGACCCAAAAGCTGGGGAATCGGTGAGGGGTACATCGCAAGAGGACACGTGAGAGAGAAAAGCAGTTGAGAGGGAACGGTCCGTAAGCATCGTATGGCCTCTGCTGGGTGCTGCAGGAATATCCTTGTGGTCAGAAGCTGAGAGCAGGAAAGGGCAAATAAAAGCTAAGCCCTAACGAAATCCCCGTGTTTGGGAAAGATAACACACAGCAGCTTCTAAACTACTCAGCAGAAGCTTTCTCTTTCCCAGTAATGTCCCTTTATCACACCATTTCGCTCCCTCCTTGAGGGCCTTTCACCTCCTAATGCTGCAAAACCACTTTGTGCTCTTAACTCTGGTGATAGAAGTTTGGGTTTAGATCACGTAAAGTTTCAGCAGGGTCTTTGCGAAAAGTGCTTTTAAAACAACGTCCTTCCCTCCACCTGATGTCTCCGCTTCATCACTTTATCAGGTCCATACTTACAGGGCACCGGAGGCTGGATTGTGACTCTGGGAAACACATATCTGTGCAGATACGGAAGATGTTAATTGCTGTACCATACTTGTGGAGTTGTTATACACGGGCTGTATTTTATTCTGTTGTTGGTGCTCCACAGCAGATCTGTGGTCTGTTCTACCAAACAATATCTCTCTTTGCCGACCAGCACTCACCCCTGACTGCCCTGGCTAAGCTCCTCCGGCTCAGGGCTGGCCCTCCTCTCTGCTAGATGCCATATCAAGTAGCATTGGTTTCTTTCTACGGATGTCTTCTCACCACCCACCAGGTCTTCTTGCAGCTCCTCACCTTGAAAGATTAGGAAGGGGGGAAGTCAACGCAAAGGGCAGGCGGAGGCTGCTAGGCACGAGCGCCGGCTGGGAGCAGGACCGGCAGCTCCTGCTGCTGACCCTGCGGGTGAGGAACCACGGACACCCTGACTTCTGCACTCCCAGCCTTCTCCTGTGTCTCACGCCTGCTTGGAGGGTGAGCAGGCTCTCGACGACATGCCGTTTTGCAATTAGGACCAGGAATTGCAGCTCCTACCTCAGCTTGTCTTTTTATTTTTTGATGCAGAGTAAAGTGAATAACGCAAAAAGACATCCTTGTTCAAGGCACGCACGCAGGGGGAAGAGCGAGCCATGCCTGGGGAACACCAGCCTGCCCTGACGGCCTGGAGACCAGGCTGAGGCACCACACTTCAGAAGAAGCAAGCACCTTCGTTTGCGCCTGCTCAAGAGAACTCAACCCTTTCGGGAGGTAACAAGGAGTCTCAGCCACCTCGTCCTTATCCTGGCTGTCCTTGAAGCCTCGCTGCTGCCTTAACTGGCAAGAACACAAACACATTTCCTTCTGGCTTCAATCCATGAACATTTGAGGGGGGGGAAAAAAAAAAAGTTAAATTCTGGTGCTTAATTGCATCTTTATGGATAGTTCTTATCAGGTCACAGTTAATGGCATCTTTGCTCTCCAGTGAAAGGTTAATAGCTGTATCTGCCCAGCATTCATCAGAAATAGAAAAACAGAATCTATCTAATCTCCAGATTAAACACAAGGAAACCAGCAGATGAGCCCAAAGGTGAATCTGCCGAAGGATAAAAGCCACTTGTGAGCTACTTCAGGGAAAAGCGTTGAGTAACTGATTGAATGTCAAGGCCTCCATGGCCACTGAAGGAGGCCCACACAAACAGTCCTAAGGATTTTTCTCCCTACAATAATACCCAGTAAGACTATTGCGTCTTGTTTCCCAGGAGCTGTCTAGCAATTAACCTCACCCACCATTCAATCTAGAGAAGATTTACTTGTCCTCTACCGCTTAGGTGTCTCACCTGCATTGAGATCCCATCTCATGCTCCAGCTGCCCAGACTGTGACTCTTCCCGTTTCCCCATCATTCGGTTATCTTCACCTCAATGAACTCATCCTGCTCTGGATAAAACATCCCACACCCAGCCCCTACCAGCTGGAGCAGAAACTCTCGAGGGAATGAATCCTTCCATTCCCACCCTTCCTTATTCCTTTGCTATGTCACATCAAAAAGTGTTTAAAGTTGTTCTGTCAGATATTATTAATAAATCTGGTTTCTACTCTAAATCCCCACCTCTTTTCTGTTTGTGTCACATGCTTCTCTCCCTGCAGCCTTCTCACACTTGCTCTCTTGCTTGTCATGCTTCTCACCCTCTGAAGGGGCAGCAGAACGGACATTCTCCAGGCACCGTTCTTGGTGGGGACCCACCCTTCACACTCATCCTTGCATGGACTCATGTAGCCCACTGCATCCCCAGGGACCCTCTACCCACTGCCCACCACCACGATGCATGGATCGTGTGTTTGCTTCACGGTTGTAGTTCTTGGTGGACAGCCTAGAAAAACTTTGTTTTAATTTTTTTTTTTTTGTTAATAGAGCATAATAGTTCCTGTTGAATTTCTCCTGTGCAAGCGCGCTGACACAAACAGGAAAGCAGAGCCGGTACACAAGTCTCACTTCGCCGCGCAACACTGAGCAGCTGCCAGCATTGGCGTCCATGGAGCCTGTTGGTAGAGAGGACTTCCCTCACAGCCGGTTCAGCTACAAACATCTCATGCGATGCTCACGGCGTGCCCTGTTCCTCGGGGAGGCCAACCCTGGGCTCAGCCCGTCAGTCAGACACGTAACTCCCGCCTACGTCCGCTGGTACAACTACACGGATCAAGTGGCGTAACACCAAGTTCTTAAAGCCTCCCTACTTCACCTCCTGCTTCCCAACTCCCCAATCCTCCTGCTTTTATCGCAAGCTCCTCATGAACAGGGAGCAAAGCTGCATATAAGCATTTCACATGCACTGCATGTTGAAGGACGGGTTACGGACTGCAAACCGTTCCTGCAAGCTTTACTCCGGAAAAGCAAGGAAAAGCAAGCTTTGGCTGCTTGCAAGTCCCAAACTTGCCTTTTTCCTGACTCAGGACTCACACACTCATTCTCCACAAGGCTCCACAACTTCCTCCTGCTGCTCTTTTACTGCAGAAATCTTCAATAAAAGCAGCAGCGTGAACATAATGGAGAGAAGCAGGGAACGAGGCAAGGACAAATGATATCAACTGCTGTACAAGAAAAGCTATCTTTTTATGAACCATAAAAGAGAATGGAGGTTTTATTCACTCTGAAAGTAACGTGTCCACTAAGCAATTCCACAATTAAAGACGTTATTGCATGCATCTGAACGGTGTGTGCAATGCAGTGTACACAAAACTGCTGGTTTATGGCACTTTGAAGAAAATAGGATTGAGGCAATACAGTCAATGCTTTAAGAAGAATAATTATGAATACTGAGAACATGGAGGTTTGCTTGCTGGCATCAACACATTCCGAGAAGGGCAGCAGAAGTGAGGTCACTGACACAAAATTATGCCTCTTACAATGAAAAAAGTTGTCTCCAAAGCCGCTGTCCCCACACCAGCCCATCCCAACAGCGCTGGTGTATGGATGAGGAAGGACCGCTCACGGCTCTGCCATAAGCACAGCAGTAATTTCCTGTGACATTAGGGCACGCTTGTCACAGTTGGGGCCCTCAAATGTATAACGTAAGGGTCTTCAGCTAGGGAAGCCCAATTTTGTCAGTTTTAGCCTTGACTTCATCAATTTTGGCAACTTCCAATTAAAACAGCCACTTGCACCTTAGTATTCTCACACGAGTCCTCAAAAGGACCTTTGAAATCCCGGGCCGAGCTGCAGCCAGCCAGGCAGGACATGCCGCCAGCATTCCTCGCTGCAAGCACGTCACGCATTAGATTCTCTCCCTCGGATGCCTCTAACTGGCCGAGCTAAAGCGAGTTTAGTCACTAAGGATGGCAACAGCACTCCTGTGCTAAACTGCTTCTCGTCAGAAGGGTTTCTGCAGGAGCCTGGTCTGGCAAGCAACGTTGGTATGACTTTTATTGACAGATAAAAGAGAGATCTTCCCCCTCAGCAACACGCCGTTGGGCACCTCCGCTTCGGTCTTGGCTCTGCAGGCTTTGGTCTGGGCCTCACCCACACCAACAGCCCATTTGTGGCACCCTGTAGTACTCGGAGGGGAACACATTTGGCAATTAAACCAGAATTCCGTCCTCTCTCACCACTAAAAGCATGGCACAGAACCTTCCGTCCCCGCCAAACCCCAAACCGCTAACCGGCCTTGCAAATGGCCAACGATAGCTTTTACTCCAGATTGGCTTTGGAGTCTCTTGGGTTTTCTCTGCCAGATGAGCCAACGCGACGGCGAGGAGGCATTCGCATCTGCAAATCGAGTTCCTAATGGTAGTCAGAGCCGTGATTTCCAACTATTTGACATTTAGAAATTAGTGAGGACCAGCAAAGTGTCCCTCCCACACTAATGTGTCCTTCAAGGGAAGAATAAAGAGCAGTCTTCAGATGGACACGGCCGAGCTGGCCAATTCCTCGTTGCTAAGTTGCTGCTCAGTCATCTGCAGGGGATGGGGAAGCATCTGAGAAGTGACTGTAGTCCTGGTTTGAGTCCCAGATTTCTATCCACCTAAGAAAGAAAGAACAGTCAGAGCCTACGAAGGCACACTGGGACGTCGCTGAATGGAGTTTCAAAGTTTCAAAGGAACAGAACAAAATGACCCTGCCAGGAGCTGTTTCCACTTCTACCGCAGATCCCAACACATTCTCTCTCATGGGACTAACCTTGGGGTTCGTTTTCCATCGTGACACTTTTGTTATAATTGGTAGAGAAACAACAGGAAGAGAGACCGCGAAGAGAGCTCCGTCTCTTCCATAAAGGAGGACTTTTACATTCAACTCCAGATTTTGGATTCCATTCTGTGGGTGGAGCGAGACTTTGGAGCACTTTGAATGTCAGAACCTACGTTACTTGGGCTGTAGGTTTATCGCTGGGATTCAGACACCAGAAGAAATGGACCTCTGCTTACTGGGGGCACTAAATACTCTCTCATAAGCTTAATTGCAAATATGCCTTAAAAACGGTGATCCTAAGTAGAGTAAATAGTATTTTTCGTATTACACTTTGCAGGTCCTACGGCAAAGTTTTGAAATTTGAAGTAAATTACCCAATAATAGCTGCTGGAATCAGAAGAATTATAGCCCCGAAGAGAAATGGGAACCCCCTCATGAAGTGCAGAGTGGCAGGGTAGAGAGAGTTGAACACTCCCGTAGCCACGAGCGAACACAGCCCCTCCACACAGGCAACGGAGGCGAAGAGGGCACCTGGAAAAGATAGACAAGAAGTGAACGGTGGGACAGCCCTGCCTGCAAACGCCTTCGCCACATCACCTCCCGTGGGATTCTGCCAATCTTTCCAAGGGTTCGCACTTCCCATGGGAAAACCGGCACCTGCATTGCCAAGCGTGGTGAGCAAGAGCTGGGAGCAGAGATCAGGCACACCAAACCTGTCCAGCTCAGCTTCTCTGCAGTCAGGACCAGCTCCCCGACCGCCAAAATTAGTATCACCGGAGCTGACCAGGGCTATTATATATCAGTTGGATTGTAAATGCTTTAGACAGGGCTATCTCGATCTGTTTACTGCCAAGCACACCTTATCGCTTGTTAAACATTAAGTTCAGCACAAGACTGCACTTCATAGATTGAGCATCATAAATCTGCTATCAAGTGCGCACCACCTTCATTCTAATATAAGAAACGTGAATTCTGCAAAGTCACCTTTCGACCTTTCCCACCTCGATTCCCTCCTCCCCTCCGTCCGCCTGCAGAGAGGCATTCCTACGCTGCCTTCAACGGCAACTGCAACCCAACGCATCATGGGCAGAAAGGCAAACGCGCTCCTCCTGTGGGTTATCCGTGATCGTTCACCATGGTCAATGATATAACCCTCTAACAACATTGGGTTTCTTCCCACTGTTACTAATCTACAGAAAAGAGTCACGGTCAGGGAAATCACGATTTTCTGCTCGTTATATAACCCATTTTAACCCTTGCTCCTTGTAAAAGCTTTGGAAACGGAACGAATGAATGAACGAATGATTCCCGATGGTTGAACGCAACGCTTTTCGTCTTGCTTTTCCTCTCTCGCCCTCAACTTGAAAACGTAGCAAGTCTAAATGGATAAAAACTGGTGATTATTCCGGATAAAGAGAAAACATTACCCTGGGCCTGAGGGTGAGCGCAGGGCCACAGGAGTCCAAAGGACCCAGGGAAGCTTAACCTCCCAAAGCAGTTTGGTGTCAATGTTCCATGAGAAGACGTTTCGGGGCCTGGCTTAAGCACAGCAGCTAATTCCTTACCCTGTTCCGTCTCACTGACCAGCTTGGAGAGCTTGGCTCTGATGACTGGAGTGGCTGCCATGGACAGGAACAGGATCCCATAACCTGTGGGCAAGAAACAGCACGTTAGGGAAAGCTCAGCTGTAAAATAAAGGCTCTAAAGTCAATTTTGGAAATCTGCAGCTCCAGGCAGTTTCTCCCTGCTATATTTAGACCCGACTGACCCTCCTGCATCTCGCAACACACTTTAGTCTGTGTCTGCAGTGTAATACAGTTTCTGGGAAACCTAATATTCTAGGAACTATACGACTGCACTTTCAACTTCAGTTTTTACAGCACATGGGCGGAAACGGAGGCAGAACTTCCTCCACGTGCTCGGACTCCCAGCAGCCCCCTGCCTTGCTTGCACCTACTGGCACCTCCAAGCCAAAGAGCCTGAGATATGGGGCATCAAAGAATTCGGCATCACCTGTAAACATCAGCGGTGTGGTAGTTGCGAGAGAAATCACAACCAGTCCGGAAATATTGGAGATCACACCTATCTCTGCCACCCAGGTGTCTTCAAGGCAGAGCTGCAGCAGCCGCAGCCCTCCCAGGCTGCCCAGGTACGCCAGGTAACTGGCGGCCGAGCCGTACCCAATGAGGTCCGCGGCCCAGCAGAGAGGGGAGCCAAGCTCGTACAAAACAAAGAGGTCCTTGGCTCCAAAATGTACCGTCACAAGCAGAAAGAAAGCCAAGGAGTAAAGGGCGAGCTTCCGCCTGGAGCTCGAGCGTTCTGGGGCCGTGTACAGCCTATAGACAGCCTTGTAATGACCAAGCGTCAACAGCTTGGCTGGTTTTGGAGGCTTCACCGATTCCTGAAGACAGAAAGCAGCGTAGAGAGCGGCGGCGAGGCTGGCGGCGAGCACCAGC